CTGCTGCCCTGCCCCAGCTTCTGCTGCCTGATCTCGCTCCGCTCGACATCCCGCGTATCCTGCCTTCAGCACGCTCGCCCCGTTATTTCTCAAACTCTTCTTTCGTTACCTGGTCTACCTGGGGGAGCAGTCCGTGCTCCGTGGTTGACGTGGGCGACGGTCACGCTGGTGCCGGGTGATTGCTACCAGCCTCAGACCGGCTCTCGCGTACGGGTGCACGGCGGCGGCAAGGAGCTGGTGCGCCTTCAGGGACGCGTTGCTGTTATTTTTTTTGCACTTGTTGCTGTAGCAAGAGCAGGCAAGGAGCTGGAGCGCACGGGTGGCCGCATGGGAAGCGGTCCTTAGCCTGAATGACCCGCTGGTTAAGTCCGGCTTGTTTTTTGGAAGGCCTAAAGGTTGTCCAGCGCGGCAGCATCCTGAACGCGCCAGCAAACGTGGTTCAGCAACGATCCCAGTTGGGGCAGACTCCGCTCAAGGCGTCTGTGTTATTTTCCTGAACTGCTTCCGTCGCTCGTGGGCTGCTGAAATATTCCCGACTTGCTCTCTGCCACGGATGAGAACGACGTGCGGACGGCGGCGAGCAAACGGCGCCCGGCCACCTGAACGGGAGGGAACGGGCAGGAGGAGCGTGCTTGCTTGATGCTCTGCCCGCGGACGAGCCTTGCCCGCACGCAGGCGGAGCGAGGCGGGAACGGAGCTGCGGGCTCCGGCCCTTTGCTCGGTGCTTGGAGCCGGGAGCCCGGCCGTGCCCCAAAACCAGCTCGCTCCTCGGGCTGGGCATCCCGCCTCTGGCGAGAGCATCCTCTCTGCCGCACGGACCCCTTTTACCTGCACCTGAGGAAACAGATTTAAAAAAACCCCCAAACCTCTTACAATAAATGGAGACTTGCACGCCGGAGGCGGTTCTTTACACCTCCGAGTTGGGAGCTTACATCTGGTGCTTCACGTTACAACTTCTTCAAATTACAATTCAGATTGTTTCAAATGACACCTTCTTCGCCGATTTATTTACTGGTTTTTGAATTTACTTCTTCCTGCGCTACTTCCTATATCTCTGCCTGAATTATTATCCGGATTATTCAGGCTCTTTCTGTAAACAGCTTTCGCAGCAGTTAGTCATTTCCAGTGCCTGCTCTACCTCTGCCCCAGATAAACTGGTGCCAGCGATGCTGTTGCAGGGGAGACGGTCTGACCCCTGGAAAGACCTCGCTGGCTTCTCCGTGTTTTCCTCCCGCATTCAAGCGCGTTTCGTTCTCCGAGCAATGCGGTGCAATGAGTTGTTCAGAGCCGTTTCCCCCCTGGCTTTCTCTTCGGGTACAAAGATGAATAATTGAGATTCTTTTTCTCTGCGCGTTACTTGGAATGAATGAAACTACGTGTTCGTAACCAGCGTGAACGGTCTCATCCTGGATCCTAAAACCCTTTGCAAGAGATATTAAGTGTTGAGTGTTTCTACCGGTGTTTCTCCGAGTCGTCCGGGGACGGTGCGGTGGGACAGTATTCACGTCGCTGCTCCTTTGCTCGTACCCTGCGGAAACCTCCTGCCAGTCTCTTTTTATTTGGGGAGGCTTTGTTTCCTTGCCAGCTAACTATTAGGTATAAACTGCTTTTATTTTAAAAACCTGCGTTCATCACGGAGCTTAAATAAATGAGACGTTTTGCTGAGCCGGCATCCTTGGACAGGAGCAGACGAACCAACACCAGCTCCCTGCTTCCAGCTTGCTGCTCCAGCAGCTGCTCTGCCCGTGCTTGGGGGGGGTTATTTTGTTTATTTATTTATTTAAAATAGAAAATCTAAATAAACCAGAAGGGGTTCTTCTAGCCCCGCCGGGGGCTCATCACCCCGGAGGTCACGTCCCTGGTTCGTTG